GACCCCGTTCGCCTCCCAGGTCTGGACCCCGAGCTCGACAAAGCCGATCAAGATCTCATGCAAGCTCAGGTGGCACACGCCGCCAGTACATCCCAAGCTCAAACCAACGTCTTACTCAATGATTCACGCGAAAGCTTTCGTCAACTTCTTGCACAGCAAGTCCAAGCTACTGAACGACGAGTCGACACCCTTCATGACGTCGTCACACGCACTCGTAGAGAACAAGACCGTCAAGCAGAGGAAAATAAGAAGATGTGGATACAGATCGACCAGATGCGAGAGACCCTCGCGCTCGCCGAGGCCCAGGCGCCGATCACGGACCTTACGAAGCTCGCCGACTGGGGCCGCGAGATCGACCCCACGATCTTCACCATCGGGGCACAGCGGCTCATCGATCCCGACGCGCTCCTCAACGACCTTCAGGAGTGGATCGCCTCAGCCAACCTGGGCCCCGACGCCGTCGAACTTCATGGAGACGAACCCGCGCGCAGATTCGTGCTACAGGTCAAAGGCGGGCGCGACGTTGCCATCCCACGCGCGCTGGTGCTCACCCGAGCCCTACGCGACGCTGGAGGCAGATGGAAGCGTTTCTCCTCCGTCGACACCTCGGGCACGCCAATGGGCATCTATCTCAACCCTGACAAGTCGCCTAAGCAGATTCGCACCGAGATCCAGTGCAAGAAACTCCTCCAGCTCCTTCAACACCGACACCCCCAAAAGTCATGGAGAGCTCATCGAGCAAAGGGCGAGATCCACTGCAACGCCATGCCCGTCGCGCGCCTCGACGTAAGGGACAAGCCGACCCCGCCATCCTGGAGTGGAAGGAGAAGGAATTCGAGCTTGCCGCCTTCCGCGACCTTCACCGCGGCGCCATCCTCACGTCGTTCCAGGCACTCTTCGCGGACACAGCGGAGGCCACGTGGCGAGTTTAGCCACCGCTGGGCGGACTGGCACCATGGCACTCGCCCGGCACGTCGTTTACAACCCACCTCCGAGCTGGGCGCCAAGTTCCCCCACATCGACATCGGGCTCATCGTGCTCGCGAATTCCGCCGAGTTCACCATGAAGTCTGCCGCGCTGCACCGCGACTTCGAGGCTCGGCAGCGCTCTCTGGCACACCGTGCATCTCAGCTGCCGCGAGGCTCCTTAGGAGCCGCCGATCCAAAGAAGCTCAGGAAGGTCAACCGATCTTCCCTGCGCAGGGCCCTTCTCTGGGACACCTGGAAGCGCCGCCAGGTCATCCAGGGGATCAAAACCACCGACCCCAGGGGCCGCCCAGGAGTAGCCAGAGAGAGCTGCGCGTTGGTTGTTGCTCTCCGCGCCCTCGGGACTCCCGTCCTCAAGCGCAAGCGCGTCGTTGCCTCCAAGGTCCAACAGTGCATTGTCGCGCTCTCGCTCAGCCACCCCCATCTATGACGGCGACGCGCCCACCAAGTCGCACTTCAGCGGCTTTCTGCCACGCGCGTCCCTACCTGCACCTGGGCTCGACCTCTTGCCGCGCCGCGCCTGGTTCGCCGCGTGCGTGCCCATTGGCCCGCTGGAGGACCTTACCTCGCACTTCTGCTTCAACCCTGTCTTCACCCTCGCCCTGTACGGCGGTGCCTTCATGATCACGCCGAAGGGCGTCATCCCCATAGGCGCGCCCACCACGGACCGCCGCCCTGGGGACACGCGCCCGCCGCCCCTCAAGTACACAGATACCATTGCCTTCGCAGGCGAAGCCTTCATCATCGCCAAATCCGCTGTGGCAGAGCGGACGTATTACTTGCAGCAGGGCTTGGTAGTGGGCTGCATTCTCACCAAGCACATTATCACCCCCACCGCCGAGAGATGCCTCATCACCAACCTCGGCACCGAGATGCATCAAGCTGGAGTTCAACCAAAGGCCGACAAGCACAAGCCCGTCTTCAACAGCATCGACCACGCGGAGCTGTCCCTGTCGCTCGGATGCGGCTGGCTCCACGCGCCGATGGAGTACTGCGGCATCCTTGAGGGCCCGATGTGCATCTCTCTCTCTCTCTCTCTCTCTCTCTCTCTCTCTCTCTCCAGCGGTACCTCGCCCCCTACAGCATCCTCAACGACGATGGCGTTCATTATTTCATGCTCCCGTCCGAACTTGGTCTGGCCCAGGGCTGCCTCGTCTGCAGATCGGCTTGGGCGTTCGCCATGGCCCCTCACGCTCGCCGCATCGCCCTGCGCATCATGACCTACGACGGCATGCATGACTATGACAAGCGCTTCCTGGGCAGCTGCGCCGTCGACACTGGCCTAATCACCTTCGTGTTCGACACGCTGCGCGCTGACAGTGAGCCCTTTGCCGTCGCTCAGTTGCCTGTGCCTCTCCCCCTGAAGCCTCGCAAGTGTGTCGCCGTCCTGCGTTGGGCGAATGTTTTTTTTTCAGCTCGTGCAGGGTGGCAGTGTTGCCACCGTCCGCCTCCACAATTCATTAGTCGTCTCAACGCTAGGCCATTTCTCGCAGTCCGCTCCGCTCAGTCAGATGCCTGCCCGTAGTGTACATCACACTCTCTGTCAGTTGCATAATCCCCTGCCTGACACACCTCGCAAAGTAGATCGCAGTGCCATGGCGGAATGGAGCCCGCCTTTTGTCCCATGCTCAGCTCAGATTTCAGTCGTCGCTGCTGCCATTCACTCTGCCACTTTCACGCCCCGTCATTGTTGCGCCGTCGTCTGCAGCTGCCGCGGCCGCGGCGAACCGCGCGGCTGCCAGCGAAATTCACGAGGCCCCGAGTGCTGAGCCACCGCGCCGCCCCAAGGCGCAGCGTGCGGTCGCGCTCTCGCTGCCGCGGGCCTCTTTCTCATCGCCCCTCACGGTCATGCCAGCGAAGTGCACCTCAGCCTGGGGCTCCTTTCAGCCGCCCCTGTCCCCAGAGCTGGAGTCGAGCTGCGCTGCTCTCACGAATGCCATGCGCCCTGCCCGCGCGAACTGGCGCTGGGTGGTCTATAAGACCAGCGCAGGTGGACAGACAACGACCCGCAGCATGCACGCTCATCTGCTGAATTCCTGTGTGTTTGGGTGCACAGCAGCGCCCGATTCAGTCCTTCCTTTCCTCGCCCGCTCGGTCCTCCTGAGCCCCCCTGTCCCCCCACCTCGCCCAACCTCCACTGCGCGCTTACATCCAGGGGCGATGGCCCCGATGCAGCCTATCCGTCTGAGCCCGCTAACGCGATCTCGTCGTCGCGGTCGAATCAGCGGATTGAGCTGTTGCCAGCAGCTGCCGCGGCCACGCCGAGCCGCGCGGCTGCCGGCGAATTTCATGAGGCCCCGAGTGCTGATCCACCGCGCCGCCCAGAAGCTCAGCGTGCGGTCGCGCTCAAGCTGCCGCGGGCCCCCGTCTCATCGCCCCTTGCAGTCATGCCAGCGAAGTGTACCGTAGCCTGGGGCATCTCTCAGCCGCCCCCGGCCTCAGAGCTGGATTCGCACCGCGCTGCTCTCTCGAATGCCATGCGCCCTGTCCGCCCGAACTGGCGCTGGATGGGCTACAAGACCCTCGCATGTGGACAGTCAACTACCCACTGCATGCACGTTCGCCTGCAGAAAGCTTGTGTGGCAGGGTGCCCAGCAGCGCCCGATTCAGCCCCGCCTCTCCTCGCCCGCTCGGTCCTCCTGAGCCCCCCCTGCTCCCCCGCCTCGCCCAACCTCCACAGCACGCTTACAACATGGGGCGATGGCCCTGTCGCAGCCTATCCGTCTGAGCCCGCGAACGAGATCTCGACGACGCGGTCGAATCAGCGGATTGAACTCTCTTTTCACCGCTCACACAAAATGAAGCACGCCTCGCCGACCCCAGCTTCGATAGCTGAAAGGTTGTGCGATGCCAAAGCAACGCTCTGGAAGTAGTCGCGCGGCTGACGGTCAAGAGCGGACGGTCTTCTTGCCCTCGTCTCGCTTCTTGTCCGCCTGCCCTCGTCTCTTCCTCTTTGGGTACGCGCACTCCTCCTCATCCTTCTTCTCCTTCTTCTTCCAGGCGCGTGCGCAACCTCCCGCAGTTTTCCTACTGCGGCCCGTCCTTGAACCTGGGAGGGCGGGCCGTCCTCCTCGGGGACGCCATCTTGGAGCCCGCGGGGGGGCCGAGGTGGCCAAGCACTGGTCGACAGCACGTAAGATCTGTGGAGGGCGATCAATGGAGAGTTAAACATGGTTCAAACATGGCTTAACACATGGTTTAAACATGGTTTAATCCGGCGATCTAAAAGATGTTTCAAACATGGTTTAAACATGTTTGTTGTTTCATGTTTGAAACATGTTTATAACCTGTTTTACACCGTTTAGATACTTGTTTAATTCAATGATACGATTGTTAGAGTGCCCATTGTCATGGCATCTACAAGCGTAAGAGTGACCCTTTGCCAGAGTGATCTTCTGGCGCGCGCCCACTCATTAGGGCCTCCAGCTCGTCCAACGCGATGCGGTAGTAGCGTCTTGCGCGCCTGTGCTCGGTCCCCGCGCGGCCCCCGAAAGACCGCGCACCAGAGGTCACTCTTAGCCCCAGGGGGGTCACACTTTCGTGTATAATCGAGCTGGTTCTGGCCAGCAGACAGGGAGACGAAGAAAGGGGCCCCTTTTGTCGCCGCGGCTGGACACGGCTCGAAACACTGGCGAGCTCCGACCTCGTGACCTGTGTTGGGCGAGCTGTGCCCTCCGGTCCTCCTCTTGGCCCCTTCTCGGAAGGCGGCGGTGCTTCTCGGAAGCTTTCGCGCCCTCCGGGGATGTCGTCCAAGGCCTCCGCGAAGACAGAAGCGGCCTCTCAGAAGGCGCGAGGGTTTCTGAGGAGCCCCGCCGTCTTCTGAGGAGGCCTGCCCCCTCGCAGTTCCTCTTCCCGGGCTCGCGGCCAAGCTTTACCCGGGCCTGTCCAGCTCAGACCCCCCTCGCCGCCTCCAAGCGCCATCCATTCGGTGAAGCCGTATTTCGGCCTGGGCGTCAACTCTGGCTTCGAGGACGTGTCCGTCCTCGACGACTGCATCGAGGGCGCGGGCGGTGACCTCGAGCGGGCGTTCGAGGGCTTCTCTGCGCGCAGAGCTCCCGACGCCAGGAGACACGCTTCACCCCCTTGCGATAATCGAGGCCTTCCAGATGGGTCCCGAGCAGACAGGTTCGGAGGATCGCGCCGCATCGCCGATGCATCGCGGATACATCGCCGATGCGCTGTCGATGCATCGGCGATTTTTGCGTTGCATTGGCGACGTCGGCGCGGAGGACGTCGAGCTCCACACGGAGCCGCAGCGCCGATGTATCGGAGGCGAGGCGCGATCCTCCGAATCCCTCTGACTACTAGGACCCCATCCGGATGGTTTCTCGATGCGATAGGGCCGCTCTTTAAGGACAAGGTACCCATTTCGCTACCCTCCGCCCGTTTTCCCCTTTTGGGGCCTCCTGGGATGCCCTAGTCGCCACCGCTGGATTCGCCTCGAAGTTCTTTCTGGTCAGAGCGTGCTCTGGGAGTGGTCCAGGGAGTAGCAGCATCGGTGCATTTCGGTTTCCCACGTAAAGAAATGCGCCAAGGAGGCTTCAGACTCTGGAAGGTTCCTTATCTGGTGAGGGTGGCGTTGGTATCCGCGGCCAAGTCTCACTTTGTGTTCCACCGGCTTCCAGACCCTGGATTATTTTTCCAATGGTGCCTTATCAGATGTCCCACCGTAGCGAGCGTGCTGGGAGGGGGGGGACTGGGAACGTCACGATTCGACCCGGCGCCGTCTGGGAATGAATTATAGCAAATTCGCAGACGGCGCCAGCGCGAACCGTGACGTTACCAAGGGGGCCGGGCTGGTAACGGGCGTTATCGCGAATCAAATAAAATCAGATTGGGCTCCAGGGCGCTCGTCGAGAGCCAGTACAAGCTGGACCAGCCGACCAAGTTGAGGACCCTCCTCTTCTTCGTGGGCCCCCTGCTGCTGGACACCCTCTGCCACAAGCTGCTGCCCTCCGTGTTCGCGCCGAGCACCCTGCGGCTGTTCGGTAACAGCCCAGGTGGTGCCAAAGGCGTCCCTGGCCAAAGGTGCCCCCAGGATTCCCAGGGAGGCCCAGGTGGCCTCCTCTGGGATGACCGTGGGGGGTGCTGAAAAGCGGATGCCAAGGTGGTTGCATCTGGCCCAAATTGGCTTATGAGTGGGGATTTCAATTCAAAGGCCTCCATGAATGATCTCAACAGGAGCCCTGGACCCCATTTTTCTGCCGCGAGGGCCCCTGGGCCCGAAATTGGAACAGTTGCAGCGCCCTGATCTCGGCGCCTCGCGAGGCCCAGAGGGCCCCATGTGGGCCCCAAAAGGGTGCGGAAAACTGGGGGCACCCTGGGCCAGGAACCCTCGTGGTAGCACCCCGACAGCGACTTCTCTTTCGCGCGTATCCGGGCCCGCAAGCGCCGCGACCGCACGCTGCAGTTCCTGGCCCTGCTGGCGCTCGGGCGGGTCTGTAAACTGGGGTGAAGCGTTCGAAATTGTTCCCATTGGTACCGATGATCCCCAGGACGTCGGTTAGTTAGCCCAATGTGTGAATTACCCCGTTCAGCTCCGCCGATAGCACGCAGCTTGCGTCGGCCCTCATCTGCGTCGTATTGACGGGCTTCGGTGAAGAAGCACATGTTGGGCTCACACACGTTCTTAGGATCATCGACGGGATCGCCGGGAGGCTGCTACGGGGATAGCGAGTTTATAGGCGGATGCAAATTTGGTTAGGCTTGTGGAAGACGATCAATGGAGAGGAAGCACTTTTCGGATTCATTTCCAGTTGTCTCAGAATTCTTGAAGAAATCTCAAAACATTGATGCTTGAATGTGTCACCCATGGGCACACTATCATGTTGCAAGTCTAGATGTATTCTGCATACGACCAATATGCTGTTGTTACGAATGCGCCTTGGAGACGCGGAAATATGCTGCGCGTTAAGATTGCATATCCTGTTGTAAAAGAAGAGGGGCGGCCGCCGCGTCGGGATGCTGGCCGCGTCCAGTCCTGGCTAGAGGGTTGGCTCTGGATACCAGCAGCAGAGGTATCCTTCGACACATTCGATCCCCGCTGCGATCTTGCCCAGGCCTCTGTGAGCGCGATCCGTTGAGGCTGACATGTAGTGGTGTTGTTGGTCAGCTCCACTCCCTTCGGTCCTGAAGTCGGCGGCTGCTGATCCAGCTGTCGACCATGGCGTGATGCGGTCTTGATGTCCTCGTCGCCAGTCTGCATCAGGTCGAAGGCGGTCGGGGGGTCGGGTTTCGGCTGTAGGTTCTGATGAGGTTGTGGGTCGTCCTAGGGTAGCGGGGTCTGGTTCTTGATCAACTCGGCCAGCTTGACTCGGTCAACTCGATTGCGGTTTCCCTCTGCAAGTTTGTGACAAGGAATGGCGTCGGCGTAGATGCAGGGTTATGTCGTATGGCTTTGTTGATGCTCCTGAGGATGCCTCTCGTCTGATGTACCCCCTCTGCTGGCTCAGGGATGTCGTCGCGACCGTGATGCTCCGGGAAATTCAGCATTTGGGCCAGCTGGTGGTTGGCGTCGTCGGCAAAGATCTTTTTGCTCGCTTGGTCATGTGGAATTGACTTGCCTCCTGCAGCTCATCGGACGTGCAGTAGCTGCTGAGGGCCCCTTCCACGTATGCCATGGCCTGGTCGTATTCGATGCGCAGGTCCAGGTCGTTCCTTTGTCCCCGTTGGTCTCGCTTGAGTCGATCATGTCGATCATCTGGTCGAAGTGGTCAGCTATCGCCTCGTGAGCATGGATCTTGGACATCGCACTCTCGCGGTCGTGGTCGTTGCTAATGGTGGTGGTCAGGCGCTCGATGATGTCGTGGATGCGTTCCTTGCTGCCCACTCTTGTTGTCATGCTTGGTGGTGGTGGGCTTGCGAGCTCGATGGCTGCGTCCCGGTTCCGCCTGGTTTCGGGGTTGGCCTGCGGGATCGTTGCGCCCGCGTTTGGCGTGTTTGGGCGAGTTGCGCTCCCCTGGTGCTTTCTGTGATTCAGCGGGGTGGTCGGAGGTGCTTCCTGCCATGTCTGTGGTGCGCCCGCTTGCTTGCCCTCGCTGCCGAGTGCCTCGCCTGGTCAGGTAATCTTCATGATAGGCGTAGGCGTGAGCATGGCTGGTGGAGCCTTGCAGCGCGGCAGGGGATTCGCTACATGCGTCTATGCCGTTGGGGTCGATGCTGTTACCGCAGCTGGTGCTTCGCGGTTTTGGATATGCGCTCGTACGTCGTTATTGTCGTTGGTTCCCTCGTGGTCGGAGGATGCCGTGCCCTCCGTGGTCGGGGCGGTCAATAGGTCGGGCAGTGGCGTGGTCACCGTCGGAGTGTGCTGCCCATTCCTTGAGGCGTGGCCGTGCATGCGGTCAATCGTAGTGCTGCACGGCTGTGCTGCGTTGGGGTCTCTGCGATGATCATGAGCATCCCCTGTTGGGCGCCGAGGTTGTCGTTCTGGCTGGAGATGGGTAGCTGCATGAGTCGGCCGCTGTCGGTGTCGGAGCGCTTCAGGTCGATCATCCCGTTGTTGCTCATATAGTCAATTGTTACCTTGAGGCGGTCGACGCTGACCCTGAACTCGTTCTCGTCGCGGTACTTCGTGATGACGGAGTCGAGGGAGGTCATGTCGATTGTCAAGGACCGAGCCTGTGGTGATGGCGACCGCTGCCTCGGAGGCGTCGGAGGCGGTGGGTGCTGCGTCCTGATGGGGGTTGCCATCGGCGGGTACTGGATGATGCTGGGGCTGATGTCGCAGAAGCGTTCGACACTGCCGCCTGGTAGGGCTCTCTTCCAGCCTGGTTGCACGAGCGCGTTGCCTGGGTATGTCCACGTGTTTTCCCTGGTATCCAGGTTGAGGTAGTAGGCCTGGTGCGACCAAGCCAAGTCGGTGCCTTGGCATTTGCAGGCGACCCATGGCCTGGGTAGCGGTAGTCGGTGATTGGGTGTTAGTGGTAGTCTTTCGGGCACACCAGAGCATCGGGGTGCTTCGGACAGCGTGTGTGCGTTGCAGGTCGCGCCACCGGAAAGAAGGGCGGTGGTGGGTTGCTCGGTGGTGGGGGCTGGGCTTGGTTGGGCACCTGGTGGGTAGGATGGGCTGTGATTGCACTGTTGGTTGTCTTTGGACTCGCTGGGGTATCTTGCTCACGTCTTGGCCGTTCGTGTCTTGCAGGCTGAGCGTTATTGCGGAATGGGGCAATGGTGCTGGTGGGGATGCGCGTTGCAAGCCCGTCGAGCTGGGTCTCCGCCTGATAGTCGTTTTCTTGGGAATCGTAGTAGGATGTCCTCATTATGTCCAGCATGAGCAGGCCTTCTTGACGGATGTCTGGGCCGATGTGCGACATCAGGTTGTGGACGTCGGCGACCGAGGTCGCCATGCAGCCGTAGACAATGATGTTGCTTGGATCTACCCATGGGTCTGGCTCACGGCGCGGCGGTCTCGCGATCATGGTCGCCTCCAGTTGATTGCGACGCGGTGGCCCGCGATCCCGTCGTTGTAGGTGACGTTGGTTGGCGTGTGCCACGGCGCGCCTTCAAACGCAGGCCAAGTCGGATTGCCGTTTGAGGTGGGGGGACGAGGTGTGTTTTGCATTTCTCCTGGATCTCGGTGCAGCGATTGATAGGCACCCTGTACGCTGAGCTGTAGTTCTGTAGGTAACGGAGTTCTTCGTCGGTGACGTCGACCGTTGGGACTAGGTCGCCATTGTGGCCCCCCTTTTCCGCGTGGAGGACTGCTCTGTTCTGGGGTGCCATGTGCAAGTTGTTGCTCTCGAGGAGTATGTTGCCGCTGCGTGGGTGCATGCCCTGGGCTCCCGTGGTGGCGAGCGTGTCGGTTAGGTTCAGGAGGACGGGTAGGACCTCGCACCTCGCTCTGTTCCAGGACGTTGCCGTTCTGGCCTGTTGCGTGGAGGATGCGCGTGATGTCGTGGCTCTGCAAGTGGTCTGCCTTGCGCGCGGCATCTTGGAAGTCTGCCCTCTTGTGCACCTGTGCGGACGGCGCCGCGTGGATCTGCTTGACGTTGTCCATCTCTGTGCCTCGTGGGCCC